GATCCACGCTTTATGTTTTTTTTTTTTTTGCTTTTTTTTTGGCGTCCTGCTCTGTGACTCTCACAAAACATTTCTCGTTCTCTCCTCTCATCATATTATTTCTCTGCTTCCTCAGAGAAGAATGGAAAAAACAGAACACATAATTCATGCTTGTATAACATATTTTTTCTCTTTCACCACCTTCCTCATGCAGGTCTAGCCTAGTTTGTGTGAACTCATGAACAACAATCCTCTAACGTTATGTAATATTTAATAGTAAATAGTCCAAGTTTTGAAATGAGAACTGAGTCGATGCCTAAACCATTCAAAAACAAAACATCCTTATTTGGTGATAACAATTTCAATGATAAATTTGCATTAACTTCAAGCATTCAAAGAAGATCCTAAAATCAAACTATGATATAACAATATTTACTTAATTGACTCCGCTTAATTCCTCTGAACCAACAAAATCTTGTACATCACATTGCGACTATGAAGTAATGAATTATCGTCTTGATATTGTACGAGAATCCAATGCATACTCAGATGAAAAAAAATAATAAGTAGCAACACTAATTTTTTATGTAGAATACCCAAAAGAAAAAAGATACAATCTGTTTTCACAAATAAGAAATGAATAGACAGTTTCTCGAATTATAACATTCATGGGCAGAAAAACTCAATGCCCCACAATAGAGAGCAATTACAGTAGGGATTAATTATTGGAGGTTTAGTAAATCATCATTGGGGTCGGCTCGACTTTCAGAATGATGCACTGCCTCGTAAGGTTGCAAGGTGATTCCACGACATCGGTTGTTGCTTAGCACGATTTTGCGTTGTATGGAGCGGGTGATGACCGACAAACAATTGTATTATGTGAATATTTAAATGCCTTAGTGTTGTCAAAATAGAGTAATATTGGGCACGTTGGATTCAACTTTTTGGGACGCACAATTTGACTACGAGCACGTCCGATTCAACTTTTTGAGACACTCAATTTGACTGCAACCACGTCAGATTCAAAATATGTTTGATTTTCATATTATACACCAAAAGCTTCCAAAAGTGATTTAACGACTTGACCTTGGTTTGAATTGATTCAAATTGAATCAATTTTGGTACTGTTGGGTGTCATGTCGAGCCAGTCAGTTTGACTACAAGTTTAATGGAGTTCAAAATGATTTTTAATCAAAATTTGAGCATTTATTGATAAAAATTGCTTTGAGTATGGTGCAACATCTTAAAATTCCTGAACGATCATAAAAATTTATCGGTGTCATATCACTAATAATAATATTGTTATCATTATTCTTTTGCATCGAAATGTCAGGATTAAAAAAAAACACACCAGCAAAATGGACAAATTATTTTTTAAAATACTATTATATTAAAAAAGTATTTAAATAGATCGATTTAAAAAATTTAGTCTTATAAAATTGACTCCCAAGCTCATTAAAAATTAGAGCTCGAGCCAGCTCGCCAACCTGCACCCAAACTGTCACCTCCAGATATATATATTTATACTACAACATCTTCGTCATTGAAGAGGAAATAAAGGGCCACTTTACATACCTGCCAGCTAATTATTAGATATTTATATATGTATATCTAATATTTAAATTTCATTTTTTTTAGTTACACCGTGATAAGGTTGATGTAGCTGTTGTGACGAACAAAATTAGAGAAAATCGTCTTAAATGGTTTGGTCACATTAAACGTCGACCATCTCATAATCCGATTAGGACAGTACATGTTTTAGATTCGACTTGTGTTAAGGAAGACAGAGTTAGGCCTAGGAAGACTTGACTTATTGTATAAAAAAATGATCTTAATTTACTATAACTAAATAAAAATACAACACTAAATAGGATGCAACGTAGTGAGATTAAGGTTTTGTTGTTTTATATCTTAGAAAATGAAGTATATATTTTTAACATGACGTGCATGTAAAAATTAAAAATAAAAGTTAGATGTATAAAAAAATAAGAATCGAAAGGTATGCATGTAAATTTTTTCTATTAAATGCATTTATTATCTCACACCTAAAATTTAATTTTATATTCTATTGAGGATTACATTATTTTTATTTTTTTACACAATAAATATTATTTTAAGTATAAAAATTAAAATTTAGGTGTGAGCTGAATAAATGCATACTAATTGAGTGCTGGCTATGTGTAAATCCCCCTAAAAATGTTTGCTTTCTCTCCTCTGTTTTCCCTGGTACCTCTTCTTGGAATGCCGCCAATGGTGCAGATAAGGAACCACGCATTTTCTTGAAGAAAGCTCGGAGTTCGGAGGACCGAACCTTCGTCTAGATTGGTAGTTTGCGAGATCCCTGCAAGTTTCTGTTCTTTATCCAAACTCCATTCTTTCTCCCCCTGCTGTTCTGCTCCTACCCGAAACCATTGAGAAAGGTGGCCCTCGTCTTTCTTCTCTTCCTGCCACCCCACTTCACGCCCTGCAAGTTTTCTAAATCCTGTAAATCAACCTTCCAGCTGGATTTACTAAGTCCGGGATTTGAGGCAAAACGGAGGAGAAACGGGATTAGTTGTCATTTTGGCTGTTTGGCAGGATTTAGGCTAAATACTGTTTTAATCCTGCTCCAATCGTGCCACCAAACAGCCACTTAATTGGAAAGATCACTGTAAGCAAATGAGATCAATTTCTTCTTCTTTCTTTTATTTTATCTTCTCTGTTTTGTATTTTTATCTTAATTCGAGGGAATTTGTTGCTTATGTGATGCAAATCAGATCGATTTGGTTCCAATTTGGAGCAGATTTTGATCTTACTTTTTGCGAATACTTCGTATTGGATTTGCATTTTCTGCTTTGATTTCGGCAATGTGGAAACTTAAGATCGCGGAAGGGGGGAGCCCATGGCTAAGGACAACGAACGGACATGTGGGAAGACAGGTTTGGGAGTTCGATCCAGAGTTGGGAACTCCAGAGGAGATTGCGGAGATAGAAAAAGCACGGGAAGCGTTTCGGCAGAATCGATTCAGCATGAAGCACAGCGCGGACAAACCCATGCGGCTGCAGGTTAAAAGTTTGATTCTTCAAAATGAACTGATATGATCCGATTTTTCATTTTTTTTTTGCCCCCTGTTTGTTCATCGGTTTTGAACGTTGAAGTTACATATTGCTTTTGCTCGGTAATCAGCAATCTGTGCTTAATTGTTTGTTTTTTAAACCTTTTTCGGAGGTTCCAGATATCGATATGAGCATTGTTGTTTTTGATGATATTGAGTTTTCCCATTTGTAAACTCTGTTTCAACTTATTTTCTTGCTATCTTTTGCAATTTATCATCATTGTGACTACTGCCTAGTGCATTGGGTTTAATCTAGCAAAACACCAAAAAAAAAAAAAATGAAAATTAAATACAGCCCTCCGTTAGGTCAAAATTTTCCGTGTTCCGTCTCTTATACGACGTAAATCCGGTTCTAATAAATCCGATTGCGCCTCCATCTCCCCCGAATTTACTGGGTTTAATAAATCCTATTTAACGTAAATTCAAGTTGCAGCCAAAGCACTGCCTAGGATTTGATTGTTTGGAATGATGAGGCCTTAAAATAAGAAAAATGATTTAGGAAGGTTTACATACCACTTAATTCTTATGTATTTACATATACAGCACCAAAACTTCAATTTTTAAACTTATGCCACCTTACCAATGCATGAAAATGTGCATTTCACTTTTTAAAGTGAAAATAATGGCATTGTTGATGTGATATGAAAGATTTGGGCGGCGTAAATGTAAAATATAAAGTTTAGATGTTAAAGACATATAAATACATAGGAATTAGGTGGTATGTATGTAAATTCTCCAATGACTTATTAGAAGAAGCCACTACTTTCCTTTGAATGTCTAATGTTACAAGTTTGCAAGATTGCTGTAGTTGAGCATTTTGTCTTTTTTTTATATATTTTCAGTTTGCAAAGAATAATGCATTTGAAATACAACTTCCACAAATACGGCTGGAAGAACATGAAGACATAACTGAGGAGGATGTTTCAACCACTCTTAGAAGAGCTGTCAGTTGTCAATCCACCCTCCAAGCCCATGATGGACACTGGCCTGGAGATTATGGTGGCCCCATGTTTTTGATGCCTGGCTTGGTAATTTCTTGCTTAGGCATCACTTTTTTTTTCCTTGCATCCAATGGATCTCTATGCTTTTTGCAAGTTAAATATTTGGGGCATTTACATGCATATGACACAATTCTTATAAATTTACATATCTATAAGACCAAAACATTCATATTTACATACATAACACTCAAGTTTTTGACATCACATAAAAAATGTCACCAGCAATACCTTTTAAAATGTGAAATAGATCTTTTCAAGCGTAGGTTTATGGCACCAAGGTGTTAAAAATGTGAATATCAAACTTTAGGTGTTAGATATGTAAACACATAAGAACTGTATGGTATGTATGTAAATTTATCTAAATATTTTCACTCAAAGCCAATTTTTTGGTAATTGTCTTGCTTCATTCTGTCAACAGAAGGTAGTCCTAATTCCTATGTTATATAAATTTTCCTCACTTTAGCAATAAACTTTTATCCATATTTTTTAATTACCTTGGCGTGCATAATAGTCTGCTATTTACTTTTTATTTTTTTTATCAAAGTTCAATGATAGGTATCCTAACGTTTCATTCATTCTTTTTTTCTTGGACATATATACCACCGAAATCCTATACATTTACAGATTTAACACCAAACTTTATCTTACATTTATACCACCCAAATCTTACATAACACATAAAAAGTACCATCATTTTCACTTTTAAAAGGTGAAATATGCCTTTTCATGCATGGGTAAGATGGCATGTATGTAATAATTGAAGTTTACGTGTCAACATGTAAATACATAGGAATTGAGTGGTATGTATGTAATCTTCCTTATTTTCCTCAGGTTATAACCTTATCTGTTACTGGAGCACTTAATGCTGTTCTATCGTCAGAGCATCAGAAGGAGATTTGCCGTTATCTTTATAACCACCAAGTAAGGTTTTTAGAAGATGTTCTTATTTTATATGAGGCTTTTTCTCATCAAATTTTTTGTTTCTAAATTTGAAAGATAGCTGCCTTACAATAGGTGTACATGTAATGCAGAACGAAGATGGTGGTTGGGGTTTGCATATTGAAGGCCATAGCACGATGTTTGGATCAGTGCTTACATATATTACCTTGAGATTGCTAGGCCAAGGAGCTGAAGATGGAGGTGGAGCGATGCGAAAGGGAAGAGATTGGATATTAGACCATGGGGGTGCAACATATATAACTTCATGGGGAAAATTTTGGCTTTCAGTAAATTCTTAAACTTCAATTTATTTTTGTCAAAAAGCCTTAAATTGATATAATAGTAATAATTATGACATGGTTCTTCTATTACAATATAATTACAGATTCTTGGAGTATTTGATTGGTCTGGTAACAATCCCTTGCCTCCGGAGATTTGGCTACTCCCATATGCTTTACCCATTCATCCAGGTTGTGATTTCCTTATGCTTTTCTTGTTCTTCTCTTTGAATGCTCTTCTTATTTATACTCTTCTTGGGGATTGGTGACAAGCTACTTATCCTATCAAGAAATTTATGAGTAAAGTGTCTAAATAGTCCTCTAACTACTTACATGGATTCATTTTAGTCCCAAAGTCTATAAAATTGCCAAATTAATTCCTAGAGTATTTTAATATGGTTTGAAATATTTCCCATAGAGGACTATTTTAACTCCTCTTAAAAGTTCCTGGGGATAAATATTACATTTTTACAGACTCTGGGACTTAATGTGATCCTAAAAAGAGTGAGAGGACCATTTTGACACTTTTTTCAGATATTTGTCATTTAATCAGTTAAATGCTTCTGATGAACTACCTTTTAAGGTTGCCATTAATTCTAGATCACTTAAATAAACATAACCATTCTACTTGAATCTTTTTGATTCCATCCATGTTATGTTATTATATTTTTTCCTCTTTTAAATTTTATGCCCTTCTAATTGGTCTGTTGCTCTCTTGATTTTAAATTCACCACTTGTTTCTTGTGATATTTATCTTCGAAACGAAATGAAGTTATTTAAATGTTTGCTGATTGTCCAAACATTATGGTTTTTTATTTGAAATCATTGATTTACTGAAGTATATACATTATGACACTAATTTTCATGTTTAATAGTCAGTATGATTTGTTATTTCTTCATTTGATCATGATATATTATGCAATTTGACAATTAGATTCATCTAATCATAAAAAATATCAACATGATTGAATCTAGCAACTTTTTTGTGTTGTGAAGTCTTTTTTATTGTTTTTATTTTTTTCCTTCAATTTATAAATTTTTCCCTTCCTTTTACCTTCGTCTTCTTAGGACGGATGTGGTGTCACTGCCGAATGGTTTATTTGCCTATGTCTTATCTATATGGAAAAAGGTTTGTGGGTCCAATTACCACAACTATTCAGTTGCTTAGGAAGGAGCTTTATACCATTTCGTATGATAAAATAGACTGGAATTTGGCTCGTAATCAGTGTGCTAAGGTTAGATTATTTTTTTAAATGTTCTCTTATACTTCATTTGCGAAATTGTACTTGTGTTTCATTTTATAAACTGATCATTGTTAACATACTTGTGAAGAATGAAAAAAAAAAAAAAAACAGTTCCTCTTGTAATGATAAAATTTGCATTCAGAATTGTTTGTGATGTGTTGCCCTTTACATCTTGATTATTAGTCTTAGTTGATGCATACTAGTTCTTCAGGATTGCCAAGAACTTAAATTTTAATAATTTTGATAGAATAATGTAAAAATGTTTGATTAAGTTTTCATAAGAATTTCTATTTGGTTTCTTAAATTCTTGTCAAGCATGCATAATTTTTTAGGCACAATCCAATTAATGAAGCTCCATCAGAAAGCTGAACTAGTTTGAGATAACTTAGTCTGAGCATGCTTAAATAAGCTTAATTGATTCCTAAACAAGCTCTGTAAGTTAAACACAATCCATGAAAGCTTGAATTGGAAAGTGAGAGTGTAAATGGGCTAACAAATGTTGAACCATTCTTAAATTAATTTTGTCTGGATTAAATTGTATATTCCTTAGCATTTTAATTATTTTAACAATGTTGGGGAGTAGTATGCTAGGATGTACTAAATGGCATCTACTTATTCCATCATCATCTCTACGGGTTTGGTTGCACAAACCTCTTGAGTGTGTTTGCTTAGGTGCCTTGCTTCATTTTCTTATAGTAACTCTCAAAATACCTGTGAGGATTTCAAAATATCCTAATGTCGTGTCTTCGATCACCAAGGGTATATTCACTTGGTTCACTTGTATGTGGTTGTTGGTTGCATTTTGTTGACAACCACTGTTGATGACTACCATCATATTATCAAATACTGGCACAAGTACAATAAATTAGTGAGTCAAAATTTTCATTTGTTGGTATTTTCTATTGTGAACCCTATGATTGGCCAATATATGAAAGTTCAATTATTTTTCATATGGTGAACATTCTTAGATTAGGCTTGGCCTCATTGTTTTTCTCTTATAACTTTTTTTGAAAAAAGAGTATTTTATATCATTGATTTCCAAGCTATGACGAAAAACTCATTTTACTATACCTAATTGTTGGAACATTTTTGGTGCGTAGTACTTTTACGAAAACATGTAGAATGGTAAATAATTTACTATAAAAGTCAAAGTAGCCCGACATCATTGACTTAGAATGTAATAAGTGATTGTAAGATTTGTAAATGCTGTAATAAGATTTGGAAATGTTGGGCTTATAAAGAAAACATCAGTCTATCTTCCCTTGTAATTAAATGTGGTTTAAGCTACAATATAGTACTCATATAAAAGGGCATCCCATGTTACTGTTTCATCGGTTGAATTCTCAGGAGATCTCGTGTTTTATTAGCACGAAAACATTGTGAGGCTCTATGGCAATTTGATTATTGATGGCATGATAGAAAACCTTTATTCAATTTTATTACTTAATCTGTTCCATGTCCTCCGGAGTTGTTTCAACAAAATAATTGATTTTTCAATTCTTCCATCTTTTTAATTTTATTGACCTTTGTGTTTATTTGGAGCATGTTGCCATGCATCTTTTTGATGTCTAGTTTTTATGTTTCATGTTAACATGTGTCCATTGAATAACACAAGGACAATCAACCTAATTTGTACTTTTGCTATTATAATATCATAGGAAAAAGAAAAAGAAAAAAAAAACACCGGCTTTGAGGGCCATTGACACTTACACATATTTATGGTTCCCTAAATTTTTTCGAACAATGGCTGAGGTGATGGAAAAAATAAGAAAAAAAAACACATTTACCCATGACATATATTGGTTGAGGGTGTAGTTTCTCACCGTGAGGTCGTGGGTTCAAACCATGCATATGTCCTTTGGGCTCACCTTTCCTAAAAAAAAAAAGAAAAAAAAAAAAAAACTAGTTCTATGTAGCTCATATGTACAAGGGGTGATCATAGAGAGAGGGAAGAAGGGAAATTGGAGGAGCCAACATAATAATCTCTAGTTTTTATGTTTCATGTTAACATGTGCCCGTTGAATCACACAAGGACAATCAATCTATTTTGTATTTTAGCTATTATAATATCATAGGAAAAAAAAAAACACAAAAACCAGTTCTATGTAGCTTATGTGTAGAAGGGGTGATTATAGAGAGAAGGAAAAGGGAAATTGGAGGAGCCAACATAACAATCTTAAATATAATACATTGATTGATTGAATCCACCTTGGGTTTCCACCCCTCCAACCATCTCCATTTATTAGTCACCCTATTAGCTTCCACCAGCTTGTCTTCCCCAGTTGTCATCGTAGTTAGCTCTACTAATCCATCTTCCTAAACTCCAACTCTAGTTGGTTCCTTCTAGCTAGTCCTTGTGTCGAGCTAGCTGTCTCGTAGTTTTCTATATTGTCTTTCCCCTCATTGACGTTGATCATGGTTGCCATCTTGCCAATCTATGGTCTATCTCAATTTTAATTTAATTTGTAGCTTATTTTCACTCTTAAATTTTGTAAATTTTCCACTTTAATTTATTTTAGATTTATATAATTTTAGTACAAATGATGAAATAAATTATTCTACCAAATATCTCAATTTTTTTTAATTGTATGAAAGTTTAGGCTATTTATTTTTTTATTCACTCCCTTAAGTTGTAGCTTTCATTGCTACATTGCCATGATCTTGCAGCCTTCATTGTTGCAGTTCCCTTTCCTTCTAATTTTTTTTTAGAACTTTAAATCTCATCATTTAATCTTTATTTTTACACTTATTTCTTTCTGCATTCAATGAAATCCATCTTTTTTTTGTTCCCATAGACAATAATATTCATGTTTCATTGTTCTTAGGTTTATTTGAAGTTGAGGTTGGTTAGTTAAACCGGTGGGAGAATTTAATATCCACTCAATATATCATTTGAATGGAAAGAATTATGTCATGTAATCTCAATTAGTTTGGATATTATTGATGGCAAGAGAGAAATTGGGTCATTTATTTGACACTAAACCTCAACAAGATGATCCCACGTTAAATGCTTAGGATGAAATACTTTATAGTGATGTCTTGATGATGTTTCAATTATGAAACTCTTTAGTTTTTGAGATAAATGATATTTGCATGCTCATTTTTTTTAGCATAGGAAAGATGAAATATGATAGATAAAAACACATTTCAAAATTTGTGATGCAGTCCTATTCTATGAAATCGAGATTAAGATACTTATTGACAAATTAAGGAAGATGATTCATTTGAAAATGATCCAATCTACCTATGTGAAGAGATGAATTATTATCAATGCATCGAAACATAATGCATCAATGCTGCTTTCCTTAAATGGTTTGTTGAACAAGATTGAATTTATTATTTTCTTAATGCATTAAAAATTGAGTTTGATGCTACAAGAATACAAATTATTCTTAAGAAGGATTTACTTTCACTAAAGAAATCACCACCCTAACCTTAGTGGAAGAAGTGAGAAAGGGGTTTACGATTTGATGCCGAAACTAGTCGGAAAAATAGTGGAAACACTAAAGTAAATTTTCATTAATATTAAAATAGAGTTACAACATGACCCGAACAAAAATAATAACACAAAACATAAAAACGATATGAACAAACACTTCTATATGTATCCCAATGAGCGGTGGAGATCATTTAGAGGGGTAAGGATAATTGAGAGGGATGACGACAACCACAGGAGGCGGGTGGTAGCAAAGGGAAGTTGCAGAACTGTAGGGACAACTAGTGGGAAGGGTTTTAGGTGGTCAATAGTTGTAGTATGGTGGTTGGAGAAGCTTGAAAGGAGTTAGGGAGACGGGACGACAATAACAACCTGCAAGAAGGGGGAATGGCTGAGTGTCGGGGTGACGGAGGGAAAGTTCGACAGTTGAGGTCTGGGGAGGAGAAGATTTGGGGAAGGTAAAAAAGAAGAATATAATTACTACCTCGAAGAGGATACAACCGAAGCACCATCAACTCTTTAGATACAACCGACAAAGGGGAAATAATTTCACACAAGAATTTGAGAACAAACACCACCAAATTTTAACTCCCCAAACATAAAGGTCAGCAATTTATTGGCTCCCATAAAACTTCTACACCAAAGGAAAAGGAGGGAAAGGTAAGAGGAATCCCGAAGCCATCGTGAAGCTACCCATGGATCACCAAATTTTGCGACCTTTGCCTTCCGCCTTCGCGAGGGATTACAAGTCTCGCCCTATGATACACAAAAAATATATGCATTTTTAGACCCATATTTTATACTCATTTTTGGTTATTTAATAGAAGATATTGCACTTTAATAGAAGATATTTTTATATTTTCTTGTAGGTTGTTGAATTTTAGGACTTAAAGCAAAAAAGAAGCAAAAAAGATGAAATTTGGAGCAAAAATGAAGAAGTTAAAAATTTATTCAGCGTCGATGGCGCCGTTTAACAGAGCATTGAATTAAATAGCAGAATGCTGGCGCCGACGACGCCAATGTCGGGGCG